TATTATACCACCAGAAATTAAGCAGTTCTCAGACAATTTATCCAGTCTCTGTGGATTCTGAAAACCCAATACCTGAGGCTACTAAGTTAACATGCCTCCAAACTGAAATTAGAGGTGAAGCTGAACCAGAAGTAGAAAATGTAAATGAAGATAGCGACAGCACTAATTTCCCAGTCCAGCTTCCTAGGGATAATGCTGGCAATGAGAAAACTGTCATACATCTTGTACTACAATTGCTGGACTTACCTCAACCTGATCATACCTGGTTGATGGGGTTCTGGGAGTTGTTCTACTCCCCAAGCCCGGCCCGAGGCCAGGCTTGACTTGTGAGTTTGGTCCACTAGGCTGTTGCTTGGAGCGGCCCACAGGCCCACATACCCACCACAGCCCGGTTGGTCAAGCACTCCTTGGAGGAATAAATCTAGTTTCCTCTTGAAGATGTCCATGGTTGTTCCGGCAGACTGCTGACTCATTACAATCCTTCAGCATGGAGTTTGAGTCAATACTAAGAACATTCAGTCTTAAGGTTGATATAACTACTAGTGAATGGATGACCAAAGCAGTCCTTCAACGAAAATTGTCCAGCGACATACGAGATGAATTATACACACATCAACATAGCACCATCCTGACAGTACAGGCCATCACCAAAGGTTTGCATTCCATCATAAACAAACGACGTGCAAATGAGGAAGTTAAAGCCTCTTGCGAGCCTTCAGGAATAGAAAATAATAGTCAATTAAAGGGTAAAACAACTACCCCAAATAAGCATCAACTCTCACATCTAGTTGCAGAAAATCTGGTAATGCAGCAGAATCCTCCAAGCCTACTGTTACTAGTTCACCCAAACCGGTAACTTCTAAACGTGCAGTAGGCTGGGGGACATGTATGTTCTGCAAAAAGAAACATTCAACATACCGTTGTGCTAATTATCCAGACAGAGCAGAGACACTCGTATTAAGCGACTCCAGGAATTAGGGAGATGTTCAAGGTGTCTCAAGTCACATAACATAGACTATTGTGATACCCAATTCAACACCTGCAACAGGTGTAGAAGAGGTAGGCACCATACAGCACTGTGCAAACATACAAAATTAATGTATTCAAGACCCAAGGTGGAAGATAGCATTCCCACCACAGTACAGTTTTGCAAGGTGCGAGAGAAAATCAGTGTCCAAGCGGCTGAGTCCAAAAGTAATGCGACTTTGCCTACTGCACAAATTACCATCCAGAATAAGTGGGCCAAGGTCCATACCCGAGGGTTGTTTGACCAAAGGTCCCAGAGAACATATGTCACTAAAAGGATGGCAGATGAACTACAATTAAGGCCTGTAGCCCAGACGACAATCAACATCTCAGGGTTTGTAACAGATACAGGACCTAAAGTCTACCAGGTGGCATAACCATCAGTACGTTTAGGCAGGTACGTCTGTACCTCTGTTGTTATAGTCAGCTTTAACACTTAAATGGCGCATAGCTATATACCATTTGACACCCACAGTTGCATACCAAAAAAAAAAAAAAAATTATTTTTTCTTCCTAACCTGTTAATTTGTGTTCACTGATCACGGGGAAAAATAATAAAAAAATCGTAAGTGGCATATATTACCCGCTATAGGGCGGGGAATTCTGGCAAAAAATAGGCGCTGACTCAGCATGCATCCCAGGCGGTTTGTTGATCGCCAGCTGTCAGGCCAGAGTTGCCACAAAGATATAATTACCTAATTATTTCAATGTCTCTGATTGATTTTTCGTAGCTTTCTTGCTGTAATATTATTCAATACTGTGTAGTGTGATATATTTATATAATAAAATGAGTGAATAATCGCAGTACTCAAAAATATGGTGTGCATATTGTTGATTCAATTATGTTCATCAAACAGATAACTTTGTCGGTTATTACACTATATACACAGGTTATATATAAGTATTTGCATGTTTTGTTCACCATAACTGTACATCTAAGCTTGTATGGTGAGTAAAGGCACAAAGACGTAGGACCTCACACAGTCAGCTGTTGGCTGCCGCCCTCAAGGCCAGACGCACTAATATTTCTCCTACAACAATACTGTTCGTGGTGCTATTACGCTATATACACACATTATATATAAATATCTACCTGTTTTATTCACCATACTTGTACAAGTAAACTGGTATGGTGCCCAAAGACCATCGTGGTCATCAGTAAACAACATGTTAAGTCCTGCAGACGACGCTCCTCCCTCACCAAAATGGCGGCTCCCAACCTACTCCTCTCGCTGTTTATACCCTCTATACACACGTTATTTATACACGTTATATATAAGTATCTACATTTGTGTTCACCATAGCGAACCACTAAGCTGGTATGGTGAGTGAAGTCAATAAAAGGTGGCCATACACAGTCAGAAGATAACGCCACTACCCTCCCCTCCCACAGCATTACTCCTCCCTCCATGGCGCACAGCACTAAATATCACCACAATCCTGCTATTATCAGAACCCTGGACAGTTTTATCAGTCAGGGGTCTTCTGTAATAATATCATCGCTACATAATAGAACAAGAATATTATGGCATTTTTAGGCGATGCTGTGGTCACAAGCTGAACAGCAGTGCTGTGAGTTCATGCTGTGTGCATCAGGCTTGGTTGCTCGCTCAATACTGAGGCCCCTAACACCCGGGAGTTTGGCCCACGATTTTTTTTTTAAATGGCGTCTGTTTACAAGAGCCCTCATGAAGGTGTGGTGAACCCCGTGTATCCGTGGTCCGTTTAAATCTTGCGTAGTACTCCAAAGCATCACATGATGCGATGCGCAATTTACTGCAAGTCGGTCAAAGCATCATATGATGCGATGCACAATTGAAGGGTAAAATTTGATAAATAGTTTAAGAGTATGGGCAGTGAATAAGAATATAAATAAATGAATGGTCAGGAGATGTGGAATGGTCAGGAGATGTGGAAAGTTTGCTGGAGGTGTGAGGCTTGCCTCAGAGGAGCTTGAGCTCACTTGAGCTGCAGAGATCATGAGGGAGAGCATGCTCCGTTTGAGCCCCTGGTGAAGAAAAACCAGAGTGATATATACCTTCAAGAAGGAAGTGGATAGACGTCTCGCTTGAGAAATAAGTTTGTGGACATCTGAGCTCAAGTCGTAAACTGCAGAAAGATTGTGGAGCAGTTTTGTGGGCAGCCTAGGGCTCCTGGGTGTCGGCCACTCAACGAGTAAGCGCCCTCGCAGGAAAAAATTTCTGTGGTAAGCATTTTAAACAGTTTACAGTGATTATCTGCAGTTGGTCGTGTGCCCAGCGACCATAGGAAGGTTTATTGAGATATTAGGCATATTGTGTTAAGGCAGAAAGCCTAAATAAGAGAGTGAAGATGGGAGAACCAGCTGAGGGGAGGAGCAGCACATCCTCTCCTGCTGATAGCTTGCAGGTGAACGACAGCTGGCAGCCTGGGGCGGGTGGGCCACCCCGGGAAGTGAAGAATGGACCCGCCCAGGCGTGAGGGAGTCCTCACAGCAGGCAGGAGTCAGAGGAGTGTCGAGTGGAGACATTTATTGTGTAGTTTATTTTCATTATATGTTTGCAGAGGAACATTTTTATTGGCATGTCAATGGGTTGCAGGTTTGTCTGGGGAAGGAATTGCTGTAAACTTCGAGCCAGCAGAGGAGTAGTGGATGAGACTCCAAGGTTGTGGAAGATACTGAGCTCTGTGGAGGAGCAGTCATACAGTGAGGAGCAGGATCTCAAGCTGTGAGAAGTGGAGCAGTGAAGTGAAGTTGCACATGTTTCTGTAATACCAGTGGTGGAGCATCATTGTGGTTCGGGGAAACTTCATGGTTCAGCAGCCTGGAAGAGCTGCAGAGGATCCTGGTAGATAAACCTGGAAGAACCTGAAGAAGTCAGGGTTGTGAACTCCCAGATGTGGGAAGTTCTAATTGACTACTTGTAGGGAGTTGGTAGAGTGCCAGTAGCATGTAAGACGCAATGAAAGGTAGGGTGACTGATTATGATTTCTATGCCAAGGAATATTTATACTGAAGTTTATTGAATTACAACTGTAGGCTGGATTACCTGCAGAGATATATGTAAATATATGTTCTAGGGCTGAAAATGCCATATTTGTTTTACAAGGTTTAACCCTCTAGGTGAGGTTGATAGTGCCATAATTGTTTTACAAGGTTTAACACACTTGGTGAGGTTGGTAGCATAAGTGGCAAGCCAGGAGTTGGGCTGCCACTTGGTATAAGTAACTGATAAGAGTCCTGCTGGTATTGGTTTGCAACCAGGTTATAATATCATAAGGTGTCGAAGTTTATATACTTGTATATTGTATGTGAGTGCTTTAATATACATGTTATGTGTTGTTATTAAATGTTTGTTATGAACAGGTGTTTGCCCTTGTCCTAGTGAGGCTTCCCAGAAAGCAGAAAAGAGAGAGGGAGAGAGAAAACACCATGGCTGTGGACAGGGTAGTACAGAATAATAATTCAGGAAAGGGGATTGAGGAGATCATACCAACCAAGGAGAGAGCGAGAAGTCACAGCAGCTTAATTGGGTGTGTGCACATGACAACAAGGCTAGTGTTGGAGCCGCATCCCCTAAACATGTGATGCTGAGCCCCTCTCCAAAAGCAAGAAGCATGCAGGGTGATCTCCTGATTAAAGTGTAAGCACTCTACAGAGGTTCTGATTTGGTGGATTGTCCAGAAGAGACAATCTATTGACCCACAACAACATAATAATATTATTACGACCCACAAAGTGATAGCACCCGGTACTGATGACCCATTACTGGCCACCAAGTACTGATGACCTAGTCCTAGCCACCCAGTAGTGGGCACCCAGTACTGATGATCTAGTAATGGCCACCCAGTACTGATGACAAAGTAGTGGCCAGTTCCTGGTCATCAATAATGGGCACCCAGTACTGATGACCCAATACTGGCTATCCAGTAATAAGATTGCAAGAAAACAACATTTGCACCCAGTCATCAATTATTTACTGAATTGGACTGACCATTGATGGAGGTGACCAGCAGGGAAATGATAAGCACAGGACTCAGGCTCCTGGACCCACAACAGCAGCTCGAGGTTCTCATCATCATCCTGGACACAAAAACAACACAATTAGACATATAACAATAATAATAATAATAATAATAATAAGTAATGGTAATATCTTCTCAGAGACATAATAACATAGGATAAAACTGACACATGGGTATTTGTGAAATTTATGTAAAGAAATTACACCAAATTTCTCGCACTTTCCTGAGTGCTATGTCAAGGTCTAAGTGGTTAGGAAGAGACTTACATCTAAACATTTAATCTGTTTAGACGTTAACCCTTTAACTGCGCAACGCGTCTGCAGGCCCAGGCTTCGGGTGCCCAACGCGCCTCCAGGTGTTTTTATTTTTCACGTTCCATTCAAAACTCCCGCGGCTACATGGGGTTCACATCAGCTTCCTCAGGGCTCTTGTAAACAGACGCCATCTTTAAAAAAATCATGGTCCACATTGCCGGGTGTGAGAGCCTCAGTAGTGAGTGAGCAACTAAGGTTGGCGCTCGCAGCATGGGCGCACAGTTCTGCTGTTCAGGGTGTGACCACAGCATCGCCTAATAATGTCAAAATATATATATAACCTATATTATTTAGCCATGATAGTATTATAGAAGAGCCTGAGTGTGATAATGACTGAGTACAATGTTCAAATATCAGTGATTCAATGCTGTTCACGATGTTCACAGCGCTAACCACAGCACAACAGCATTACAGTGGTACCTTGGAACACGAGTGTCCCTGTATGCGAGTTTTTCGGAATACGAGCAGGATTTCCTCGGAAAATATGTCTCGGAAGGCGAGGGTTACCTTGGGACGCGAGTTTGTTGATACGCGTTCAGAGCGACCTAGAGCGTGGTGGTTCGGCGATCGTCGCCCCTCCGCCCCTCAGTTTACCATTGTCTCGTGCCCAGTGACTATCCCACATCAATTCTTCACCCGGATTTTCAGTGTTTTGTTGGATTTTTGGTCATTTGACTATACAATTTGTTATTATATATCTCACCATGGGTCCCAAGAAAGCCAGTGGTAAGGATCAAAGCCAGAAAGCCCATGTGAGGATGATAATAGAGGAGAAACAAGAGATCATTCGGAAGCATGAGAATGGTACACGTGTTGTTGAACTTTGTAGGCAGTACAACAAAGCCACATCAACAATATGCACTATACTTAAGAAGAAAAATGAGATTATGGGTGCTAAAGTGGCAAAAGGAGTAAGAACAATAACGAAACAAAGACCACAAATACTTGAAGAAGTATTTCAAGTATACTTGAAATACTTCAAGTGGAAAAGTTGTTATTAATTTGGATACACGACAAGGAGTTAAGGGGTGATAGTGTTTCGGAGGCCATCATTTGTGAGAACGCCAGGGTATTGCACGAAGACCTTCTAAAGAATACCCCTGCAACGAGTGATGCAGATACGAAAGAGTTTAACCCTTAAAGTGCGCATCACGTCATATGACGTGTTGGACGTTGTTCCAGTCAACTGCGCATCACGTCATATGATGTGTTGGAGTACTACGCAAGATTTAAACGGCCCGCGGATACACGGGGTTCACCACACCTTCATCAGTGCTCCTGTAAACAGACACCATTTAAAAAAAAAAATCGTGGGCCAAACTCCCGGGTGTTATTGGCCTCAGTATTGAGTGAGCAACCAAGCCTGACGCACGCAGCATGAGCTAACAGCACTGCTGTTCAGCTTGTGACCACAGCATCGCCTAAAAATGCCAAAATATACTTGTTCATGCTATTATGTAGCGATGATGTTATTACAGAAGACCCCTGACTGTGTTAAAACTGACCAGGGTTCTGATAATAGCAGGATTGTGGTGATATTTAGTGCTGTGCGCCATGGAGGGAGGAGTAATGCTGTGGGAGGGAGGGTGGTGGCGATGTCTTCTGACTGTGTGGCCACCTTTTATTGACTGCACTCAGCATACCAGCTTAGTGGTTCGCTATGGTGAACACAAATGTGGATACTTATATATAATGTGTGTATAGAGGGTATAAACAGCAAGAGAAGGTTTGGAGCCGCAATTTTGGTGAGGGCGGTGGCGTCGTCTGCACGACGTCACCGTTCAGACGACGGTGTTGTTTACTGGTTACAACGATGGTCTTTGGGCACCATACCAGTTTATTTGTACAAGTATGGTGAATAAAACAGGTAGATATTTATATATAATGTGTGTATATAGCGTAATAACACCACACAGTATTGTTGGAGGAGAAATATTAGTGCGTCTGGCCTTGAGGGCGGCAGCCATCAGCTGACTGTGTGAGGTCCTACGTCTTTGTGCCTTTACTCACCATACAAGCTTAGATGTACAGTTATGGTGAACAAAACATGTAAATACTTATATATAACGTCTGTATATAAGATATATAGCATAATAACACCACACAGTATTGTTGGAGAAGAAATATTAGTGCGTCTGGCCTTGAGGGCGGCAGCCATCAGCTGACTGTGCGAGGTCCCACGTCTTTGTACCTTTACTCACCATACAAGCTTAGATGTACAGTTATGGTGAACAAAACATGTAGATACTTATATATAACATCTGTATATAGTGAATTATAGAAAAAACAGTATTGTGGGAGGAGAATGTGGGTGAGTCAGATGACTGGAGGGAGGGCGGGAGTGGCTGGCTGGTACACGGCGGTCACTCCTCATTACTTTTTGACTCACAATAGCTACTTAGTGGTTCGTTATAGTGAACAAAACATGCAGATACTTATATATAACCTGTGCTTATAGTGTAATAACCGACAAAGTATTTGTTCACTGATTGATGAACATAATTGAATCAACAATATGCACACCATATTTTTGAGTACAGCGATGATTCACTCATTTTATTATATAAATTTATCAAACTACACACTATTTAATAATATTACAGCAAAAAAACTATGAAAAATCAATCAGAGACATTGAAATAATTAGGTAATTATCTCTTTGTGGCAACTACGGCCACAAAAAGCAAAGAGCAAGAGCTGGCGAGCAACAGACCGCCTGGGATGCATACTGAGTCAGCGCCTATAATTTGCCAGACTTCCCTGCCCTATATTGGGCAATATATGCCACTTACGATTTTTTTATTATTTTTCCCGTGATCAGTGAACACAAATTAACAGGTTAGGAAGAAAAAATATTTTTTTTTTTTCAAAATGACATGCGCCTGTGGGGATGACAGGATATTAAACCCCGAGCATGTTAAGGGTTAAGGCAAGCCTGGTCGACGACCGGGCCGCGGGGACGCTAAGCCCCGGAAGCACCTCAAGGTAAGCAGGGGCTGGTTTGAAAAATTTAGAAGGAGAAGTGGTATCCATTGTGTTACAAGGCATGGGGCCAGCTCAGACAAACCAGCCGCTGGACGATTTATTGAGGAATTTAAAGAGTGTGCGGAGGCTGAGGAATACCTACCGCAACAAGTGTTTAATTGTGATGAAACAGGACTGTTTTGGAAAAGAATGCCTAAGAGGACATACATTACCAAGGAGGAAAAATCCTTGCCCGGACACAAGCCTATGAAAGATAGGTTTACGCTTGTGCTGTGTTCAAATGCGAGTGGCGATTTGAAAATTAAACCCTTGCTAGTGTATCATTCTGAAAATTCAAGGGTTTTCAAACAGTATAAAGTGCAGAAAACCCATTTGTGTGATGTGGAAGGCTAATAAAAAAGCATGTGTGACTAGGCTTATTTTTTCGGAGTGGGTGAATGAAGTGCTGTGCCCTGCCATAGAAAAATATCTGCAGGAGAAACATTTGCCACTCAAAGCCGTGCTTCTCCTCGACAATGCTCCTGCTCATCCTCCAGGCTTGCAAGATGATTTGTTGCCCAGATACAATAAATTCCTCACAGTTAAATTCCTTCCTCCTAACACCACTCCTCTAATTCTGCCTATGGACCAGAAAATCATAGCGAATTTTAAGAAACTTTATGAAAGGGCACTTTTCCGGAAATGTTTTGAAGTGACTGAAGCCACAAACCTCACCCTCAAAGAGTTCTGGAAACACCATTTTAACATTTGTAGTGCTTTAAATCTCGTTGACAAAGCCTGGCAAGAAGTGACTCAAAGAACCCTGATCTCTGGCTGGAGAAAATTGTGGCCTGAATGTGTGAGAGAACTAGACTTCGAGGGGTTTGAGCCTGTAAATGATGCACCTATTGTTGAGGAAATTGTTACTCTAGGCCAGCAAATGGGCTTGGAATTGGATGGTGATGATGTGGAGGAGTTGGTGGAAGAACACAACGAAGAACTGACCACCGAAGAACTCCAAGCCCTTCAACAGGAACAGCAAGACAACGCAGCGGATGATTCTACAGTGGAGGAGGATGAGGCAGTAGCGAATGTCCCTTCTGCAGTAATTAAGGTGGTGTGTCAGATGTGGGAAGAGACTCAAACAATTGCTGAAAAGACTCACCCAGAGGAAGCTGTAGTAGGCCGTTGCCTTAATCTTTTCAGTGACAATGTGATGCCTTACTATTTTAGCTCAGGTGAAATCTTATGTTACAGATGCAACACTTCATGCCTACAGTACGTCTCCCCAATACTTCGGAACACTCGCCACACATCTCCATTGTCGGATACAGTGGAACCTCTATTAACACTTTCGCGCTCTCGGCGCTCAAAAAAAATCAATACCCCAGATGCTTTCGGCACTTCGCGCGGCGCGCCTACGCGGTAAGACTGAAAAAGTGTACACTCTTTTGACTGTGCTGACAATAATTGAAGGCGCACGTATTTAAATTTGGTATCACTGTGTTCGCAATGAAATTGTCTATAAGAGCATACCTATAAAATGCCGCCCCAAGCATAAGGAGTATCAACACCAAATAAAAAACTATGCAGATCACTCGCCGAGAGCGCCAAACAGCAACAAAATGTTTCCACTCTCTTAATGGTTGCGAAGCCTACAGTTGTCCTACATCGCTAATTTTGGTATCATTGGAATCGCAATAAAATTCTCTACACGGACATATGCATATGAATGTTTAATATAGGTAATTGCCCACCCGCAAGAGTGTGTGAAGTGGAG